TTTGGTCTGCTCATGAAGGTGCTGGGTACAACAAAACACATTTGAAATATTTCTACACCAACGCACATGGCATGAGGAACAAGTAAGATGAGCTAAAAACCTTGGTTCAGTCACTTCTTGGTACATGAACTAAGAGAGACAACTAGGAAACGTACACTCTTGCATCTATTGCTTGTGAACAGCGGTCTCACGGGTGAAGTGGTGATTGTTGACCATCTTGGCCATAGCAACCACGAAGTACCTGAATTTAAAACCTTCAATGATAGGAGGTAAACTGCTACCAGAACTTCAACTCTGGATTTGGGGAGAACAGACTTCACAGTACTAGTTAGTAAGGTCCCCTGGGAAAGTGCTTTGGAAGACACTGGGGTCTATCAATGCAGGACAATTTTTAAGTTTCACTTCTCCAGAGCACAGAATAGGCAATTCCAAAATGTCAGAAGTCAGGCAAGCCAGCAGAAGTTCTGGAACTTAAGTTGAAAAAAGAAAGTACATGGCCACTGGAAACAAGATTAGGCAACTTGGGAGGACTACAGAAATGCTTCTCACCATTGCAGGGAGAAAAATCCATGCAAAACAGTTCAATTACAGTTGAAGCTCACCAGTACTGTAGGGAGCAATACAAGTTTTTTTTTTTGTTTGTTTGTTTTTTAAAAAAGGTATGTTAACAGCAGAAGGAGGACCAGAAAAAACATTGGTCCGTTACTTTGTGAGGACTGTCATGATACAAACAGGAACACAGACTAAAACAGAGATACTTAAAGCTCTCTTCGCCTCCATCTTCAACACAAATGACGGTGATGAAGTTTCTTTTTACGACATGGTCACCCACATAGTTGACCAAGGGAAACCAACTGATGTAATCTTTTTGAACTTCTGTAATGCCATCAATACTGCTTCTCGTAATATCCTTCTCGACAAAATGTGCAGCATACAGATAAACACATACTACAATGGGTGAACAGTTGGATGATGTATCAGACTTAAAAGGTTACAGTACATGGGGTTACACCAGGCTGATGGCAAATCACTACATGGGTTTCCCAGAGCTCCATTTTATGGGCAATTCTCTTTGATGTTTTCATAAAAGACTTGGATGCTGGACTTGAAGGTATAGTATTTTAAGTAAGTTTGCAGATGACAGCAAAATTGAGAAGAGCTGTTGACTCCATCAAGGGTGGAGATGTCTTGCAGAGACATCTTGACAAATCAGAGAGCTGGGCAAGCACAGACAATATAAAGTTTAACAAGAGCAAGTGCTGTATTTTGAACTTGGGACAGGGGAACCATGGCTATATGTACTGACTTGGAGATGAGAGGATGGAAAGGGATCTGGAAGTTTTGGTTGACAGCAAATTGAACATGAGTCAGTGTGCCCTGGCAGCCAAGAGGGGCAAACATATCCTGGGGTGCATTGAGCACAACATTGCTTGCCAGTTGAGGGAAGTGAACATCCCTCTCTACTCTGCGCTGGTGCAGCCTCACTTTGAGTACAATGTGCAGTTTTGGGCACCACAATATAAGACGTAACTATTAGACTGTGTCTAGAGATGGGCTACAAACATGGTGAAGGGTGTAGAGGGCAAGACATATGAGGAACAGCTGAAGTCACCTGGATTGTTCAGGCCAGAGAAGGAAAGCCTCATAGCCTACAGCTTCCTCATGATGGGGGATGGAGGGGTAGGTGCTGATCTCTTCTTGCTGGTGATCAGCAACAGAACCCAAGGGAACAGCATGGAGCTGTGTCAGAGGCTCAGGTTGGATGAAAGAGGTTCTTCACCAAGAGGGTGGTCAGGCACTGGAACATGCTCCCCAAAGGAGTGGTAACAGCACCTAACTGTGACTGTTACAGTGGTAACAGTGCTGGAGTTCAAGAAACGTTTGGACAATGCTCTCCAACACTGTCAGATTTTTTTTAGGTGGTCCTGTGTAAAGCCAAGAGTTGGACCTGATGATGCACATAAGCCCCTTAAAATACAGGATATTCTATGATTCTGTGGTATCTTCAGAGCCTTTCACTATTTGGCTACTGTTTTCTTGCATCATCCATTAACTGCTAACAAGTTAGAGGAGAAAAATGCTTATTTCAGTGCACTAACCTATCTTCATGCTTCCTTCACTTTGGCTGTGGAACTTCTCAGAAACCAGCTAGCCAAATTTGTTTTGGATAACCTTTTATTCATTTATTTAAATGCAAACAAGCTCCCTTCTCCAAATCCCAAAGCAAGGAAAAAAAAACTATTTTTAACCATATTCTTAACCATGCTCTGAGGATGAGCAGTACACATTGTTGGTAATTTTCCCTCTTTCCTTTCTGTCTCAGACTTAGTGCATATTTCAGCTGTAAACACACTACAACTAGGATTCTTGCAAAATAATTCCATCCAAACTCTACCTGCTCTACAAACAGAATTGCTGAGATGTGGATGCCCTTGATTTTAATTGAAGCTAAGAGTGGAAGACCATACGAGAAAAATTGTACTACAAAGGATACTGTTGAGACACAATGATGAATTTTGCCTTCTAAGCACATACATGCAAAGACAGACAAGCCAGAGCTAAACTCTTCATACTCATTACTTTAAGAGCAACTTCCTGCTGGAAACGCCTCTCTACAGAACAGAGTGGTATATAGCATGTAGTTCACTACACACCCAACAAACCCACAGACATTCTTTTAAAAATAGGTTTCAGATTCCTAAACTGGTGCTCTGGTTTTGGTGCTCTATTTTATAACCATAATAAAAGAATCACTGGCAATTCAAAGGTAATTACACTTGAAAATCCACTTCCTGATGTATATCAGCAGATGATTTTTCTTTTTAATATATTTACATGATTGCTGGTTCACAGAATCCAGAGACCACTATAAATTAGAGAGTTATGCCATGTTTTAGAGATAGCAGGCAAAATTTTCAGGATTAACAGCACAATTTACATGCCATCAGCATTGCTTTCACTCACCAAGAATGGAACACTCCTTTCATCTTTTTATTTAATTCCATAAAGCACATGCATGAAAACCACAGTGTGGCACTCTGCTGGGAAAGTCACAGAGTCTTGCAATTAGTTCTGTAAATGTGATTGATGTTACTCTCTATGTGGAAAGCTAATTCTCCCCAGCCCCCAGTATTTAAAGTTCACACAGATTAAAACAAACCACAGATGGTTTGCATATGGTTTACAAAATGCATCCAAACTATCTTTCAGCAAATTATTAAAAGGGATTACCAGTGATCATGGAAAAAAAAAAAAAAAACAAAACATGTCACAGCAGATCATCAATTTTTCATGGAAATCAAAGACAATTACAACTGATTGATGAACTCATCAAATATTAACCTGGAAGCTGAAAGGTAATAAAAGGGAAAGAGACTTGTGTGTATTCAATACATACTGAACACTACCACAGCAATATCATATAGCCCTGTCTTCTATCACTAAGTAATGCCAGAGCAAAGGACAGATGTGGTGGCTGCCTGGAATTAATAAAGAGAGTGGTGTCTAGCTTTCTTGCCATTGTTAAATACTGGAAGCCAATCTCTCTCTAATTTAAGATTTGTAATGCAATGTAATGATGTTCAGAAAAAAGATATCTGTGCATACAAAGCACTTGAAATAAGGCAAACAAATTTTTTAAGATGTTAGCATAAGTTGAGTTATATTTGATGTACTCTACCATTCCAAACATGTTCAAGGAAACTTCTAATGAGCAGAAGATACAGCTCAACCTCCTTATTTCCAGTCATCACTGCAATGATCAAAATCAAGAACAGTAATTCCTCAAAATATTAAATAACTACATTTAATTCAAATACTAACAACTGAAAATAGTAAGTTTGAATTTTCTTAACTAATCAGCTACAACTTAAAGAGTGCATCATAACAGAGAAATCTAAAGAACTCACTGTAAAAGAGCTAAGGTCTGAAGATGTTTTACTATTTTGAGAGGACTACCTAAGAAATGTAATCCTAAGAAATGTAATGAAATATCAATAAATTGGAATAGTGTCTTTAATATCTCTATGTTAGTTATTTCACTTATATAACAATTTAACAAGATGAACTACTTGAAAAAAATCCAAATACATCCTATAGTGAGTGATTACAGAAGAGTTTACAATGTATCCATTTTGGAAGAAATATTTTAGTAAAGAGATGCAATAACTTTATTTATATTCAGGACACTAACCGTGACACAACGAAACCCTAAAACTAACAGATCAGGATGGCATCCCTTTTCTGAGCAAAAACAAAGATCCGAAAAGGAGTCTCAGTCCTCACTCCTTCCGGCTTGAGAAAAAATTTGAGTATTTAAGATGCAGAACACTTCCAAATTGCAGCTATAGTTTACTACAGACCAGGAAAATTCCAAGAAAATATAAGACTCTGTACAATACATAGAAGATTTTGGAATTGGACAAGATCTAGACATTACATTGTATTTCAGTTTTTATAACTTCCTCTAACTACCATGCCTCTCTATATCAGTTTCTTTTTCAGCCTGATTTACATACATACTTTCACACACATCAACGCTCTTCTCCTAGTGAATCTATTCCAGCAAACAGACAACAGTATGACAAATGTGATATTCAGTTGCTTGTGAAACTTAATTTGAATCAGCTTACTTTGCTAGTTCAGATAAATTCAAAGTTTATGCCTTCCAAGGAAAGTTTACTTCCAAAAATTTTAAAAACTTTCTGATATAGCGTTCTATGTATTAGATACAACATATGCAAGAAACAGCATAGCATTTGTAAAGTTAGAGAAATGAAGTCTAAGATGACTGTTGAATATTCAAACATCTCCACTGAATTTGAAGAAAGGTGGTAGGTAAGAGGAAGAGCCTGACATAACTTGTCCTAAGTTGTGCGCAGTCACAGAACTTTTCACAAGTTTCAATTAATGTTTATTTTTTGAAGATGTGAGGAAGGTAGGAGAAGGGGATGAAGGGACTGAGAGCAACAACATGTGGGAGATTTTCCCCAACTGCTTACCCAAGATTCATGGTACAAAACTGTGAGGAGGTGTATTCCATAATCATAGTTCTGTCTTCTTAGTGGGCACCTGAAAAAAAAATATAAACAAAGCTAGCATTTCTGAAACCAAATCACTGTAATACACTTTTGAACAAAATACTAGATCTACCAAGTTTTCTTATCTGTAACCTAGAAAATACATGTATTACAGGAATGTGTGTTTCATTCACATACATTTCTGAATTACACATAACCAAGAATAACATCACAATAGAAGCATGACTATTAAGGACATGGAAGAATGAGCATCTGCAAGTCTGAAGGAAAATGTACAAAAAGAACTTACAGATCTTCAGGAACCATTAAAAACCACACTAACATATCTTGGACTCCACTTTGCCCTCTACCTGAGATAGCCAAAGTTGAACACAACGTACATCAGTATGTACAGCCTAAAAATCTCAATTTTTCTGCCAGACCCGAAGGGAGGAAGACAATGAAAAAATCCATTAGATATAGTTCAGATCAGAAGATCTAGTCAATTAACTTAAGAAAAGTTTAAGTCCATGCATGTAGCTGTATGTCAAAACAGAATCACAAGTAAAAATGTGTTGGGATAAGGTACAGCACTACAGAAACAGGGTATTTCTTAAAATTAGTCATCATAATCAACTGCTGAGACTTTGATGACATTAATCTCTTCCTTATGTTGATCTCCAATAAGCTCTTGTCTTTTTTCCCCCCTCACACACACTTCATCCAGCAGGCTGTTTTGTTTCACATCTTTTTGATAAACAAGAGCTCCTCTCTCTCTTTTCTAGAGAGACTGATAGCAAGCACAGAAGAAACCCTTGCACTCAGACTTAGGAGACTATCTGTCCTGCATGCAACATGATTTCCCAGGTATTGCTTACTAACTCACCAAGGAATGAAATAGCAAACAAAGTCAACAGAATTCAGTTCAATTCTAAACAGAAGAGACCTACACAAATAATCCAAAATGATTTTATAGCTGTATAATGAGTTTAATTAGACAAAAATTGGCACTGCTACTCAGAGGACTGTTATCGGCATTGCTACTACTAAGAGGAGCATTCCTACTTCCCTTTCTCCTCCCTGCTTTCCCTCTGGTCAGTTCCAGAAGCCCTGCAGTGAACTAGATCAAGGACAGAAACTGATTAAAAAATTCCTTTTGTTTTTCCATCTTTATACCTTTGGGAGAAATCCTTTCAGTAGCAGTACTGACTTACAATGGATTAGACTGTCTATGGTACTATATATCTTATAATTATTAATATTACTATAATCTTATAATATATATATTATAATATTAAGCATATATTAGGTTTCACATTATGTAATCTGTCCATTAAATTTTTAACACATAAATAGGAGTATTGGTAGATCTAAATATATATTTTAGCCTGGGGAAAGACAGAAGAACACAAAGACGCAAGTTGCAAAGACATTAAAATTAACTGATATACCCAGAAGAGATACTATGCTTTCTTTACTGCAGCCATTGCTAATGGCATTTTTTTCCTTTCTGCAACCATACCTGTCTGTTGTAATAGTGAGTATATCTGTATCCTTGCAGTACCGCTCTCCTACAAGTTTAATAAGCTTCTTCTTTGCATGGTCATCCAAATTCAGGTTAGATAGTTTAACCTTGGAATACAAGAGAAAATACTTTTAATTATTTGGAGAAATTCAATCTCTGCACCCTGAAAAATATTTTGAGATATGGTTAGGCATATCTTTTATCAGGAATTGGAAATATAGCTATTAAATATGCACTTATAGAATTTCTTACAATTATATCACTAGTCAAAAGCTTTTTAACACAAGGCATGTATAAATCTGAATATTCAATTAATACATTTCTTCTCAGAGAAGCTGAGATAGACTATTTCTACTTAAACTTCTTTCATAAGAAAAAAGCTGTCAGTTTCATTTGTAGCTTCATACAGAAGCTGTGTTTAAGCTGAGACACTCAAGACTCAGTCTTTGCCTGAGCCACAATGCAGCTATGCCTGCGCCTGGCCATGGCCTTCACTGATTCAGATCCTGACCAACATCTTTAACTCACTGGCCTGACCTCACTCATACTGCATCTCTATGGATTTACTTAAACTGTTGACTGACTCTGGGTATTGTCACCACACTTAATCCTGGTCCCTTTTTGACCTCAAGCTTGCCTTATCACTACAGACTTGTCAGGTGCTTACTGGACCATCAGATTGGACAAGGTGACTATTACCAGGCCAGTTCTACTACCTTGCCCATGTAGTAACTGCACCCTTTTGGGGAGGTCACTTCCCTGCTTGCTTTGCTGCTTCTGTATCGCCTTCGTTTTCAGAACAGCCTGCCCTCACTGTTGTCTGGCAATGCTCACACAAATTGCTGAGTTTTTGAGAAATACTTTCTTAACGTTGTCTAATATTCACGTAAAGAAATAATGCTCCAATAGGTTTCAGACACAGCTCTGTGACAAACATACAACATTACGATCATGACTTCTGAACTTAATAGGATGTTTCAGCACACTGAAAAACACCAACCCAGATCTCCAGCATTAGTTTGCTTTATCTGACAAAACAATTTCATTCACCAAATCAGAAAAAAAAGAATCACAAACAGGCTTAGGGTGACATACTTCTAATTCATATTTAAAAACAAAGAAATCTAGAGATGCTCTAATTACGTCATAACTCAGCACAAAAGCAAAAAATCAATTTAGACCACCTATGAAATAATTATTTGTGTTTTAAAAAAAGCAATGCAAAGAAGCCTATTGAGGCTCTTCTTCCTTCTATCATCATCATCAGCAGCTTAGTAAAAATTGATTATATGCAGTTTTTCCAAGTCAATTCCAGCTGATACTGAAACAAGAAATACTAGCTTGCTTTACCTGGGTTAGTACTAAACATGACTAAAGTATAGAGTTAGGGCCATCCCTCATCAAAAAACAAGAAAAAAATCCACAATGTATGTACACACAATTCACAAATTCAATTTTTTCACAACACTGCTTCCTAGATTTTTAAAGTTATTCTTCCCTGATATTATTATCATGGGTTTAGCTGTACCAAAAATGTATAAAAGAACACTATTCGTTAATACAGATATGCATCAACAAATATGACGGTTAGAACAAGTAAACACACCATTTACAACTACTTAAAGCAGTAATACACAGAAAGAGGTGGTCTTGGTTTAAATGTATCTACATGACCCCACCAAGTTAAAGTAAATCCTGACAGAACTGCATAATGTCTTCACTCAGTAAGTATATTAATGAGGGCTCGCTGAAATGAAAAAAAAAACAAACAGATAAACAGGTAGCAGAAAAGATTTTCCAGTTCTGCAGGGCAAGTATAAAGCAGAATTAGAAAACACACTCTCCTTTTCTCTTTGGCTCTTAACCTTCTGTTCCTAACACTACTGTCTCTTCCCCCGCATTTTGCCATTTCAAGTTAGGAATTAAATATTTAGTATGGTTTTGGACAAACTACTGATTCCAGATTTGTCTCCATCATATTCTAGCAAATTAATATTAAGCATCATAAGTCACAATAGACTGAATCAACAGTATTATGAAAGACTAAATACTTGTTTGGACAATGGTTACTTGAGATCCCCATAACTACAGCACCAGTCAACTACTGGTGCTGTAGTCAATGAAACAACTGATATAATAATTCTCTGAGTACATGCAGTGTAACAGCCACGGACAATGATGAAAAGTCAAAGCCAAAACCAAGGTCCTCAGACCTCAGGTATAATTTGACTGAGATCTCTCACCAAAAGAAAAAAAGATCTCTTCAGAAAAGGTTGGTGATATTTTCAGTAAAGCATGCAGCCCCACACTAAGTGATAACTTACAAGCGTCTACATACGGAAAAGCTGATTTTTTCAGAATGTATGCTATTTTGCCTATATCAGAGCTCAATCTTCATTTATAAATACATATCCATATCACTAAAACCTTAATTTTAACGTGCTGCAATATGAAATTCACCACTACTTTTTCTGGACATTCAATGAACTATGTCCCATACTCCCTTACAAAGTATCATACTAGTAAATGTTTTTGAAAAGAAAGCCAAGCATTTGGCTTTTTAAAACAAAGGTTGGTGTTTACCACAGTACTACTTACTCTTAGAGTCACCACTCTTGCTTTGGGATTACGAATAGATGTCCCTGCAGAAACATAATCCACTGTCTCAATTTCAACAGGAAAATGCTGTTCACATTTCTTATCGCTGTTCAAAGCACTTGGCCATTCAGTGCAGAAATCTGTAAAATAAAAAGGAAAACAAGTAACCTATGTTTTTTTTTCCCCTCAAACTTATTGTAATATATGTTTTAGAAGTAGTTTTTAAATAAAACCATATTTATTCAGATAATGACAGGGTCTCTGCTAGACTTGCTCCAGTATCTCAAAAGTCTTATTTGTACTGGGTTTCTCAGAACTGGACACAGCACTCCAACTGTAGTCTCATGTTCCAAATGAAGTGTGGGGAACAAAAATCCTAAATGTGCTGGTTATTCTTGTGTTAGTACAAGCCAACATGCAGTTAGCCTTCATTCCTTCAACATTTCATGCTCAACTTTCAAAAGCTTGCTGGGCCTCACACGTCCTTTTCTGCTAAGCTGTTTTCTAGCCATATGCTCCCCTGCAGCCTGTACAGCTACATGAGTTATTCCATCCCAGACCCAAGACTTTGTAGTTGTCTTTGCTTAACTTCATGAGGGTCTCACCAGCAGATTTTTTTCTGCATGTTGACATCTCTCTGAATGGCAGCTGTGTCACCTGTTTTGCCCATTACCCCCTCCCTTCCCCCAGTTTGTAATTATCTGAAATCTTGCTGAAGTAGTGCTCTCTGTCATCATCCAGCTTTTTGTAACGCACATTTTCCACATATTTGGAAGCACGTCGCTTACAGTAGAGTTTGCTTCATAACCTTCCGAAGACTGCGGTAAGGCTGACTGACCTGCAGTTAGTTGCCCGCATCTTCCCTCTTGTCCTGTTTCCTTTGTCAAGGAAAAATATCCTCTTCCTCCTTGGCTATCTGTACTTGCTTCCACTTTCTGTATTTTTCATTTTTGCACCTTAGGTCACTCAGGAGTTCCACTGTCCTTCTAACATACTTGCTCAAAGTCCTGCTGACTGGAATGGACCATTCTTGTGCTTTAACAAGACTGTCCTTGAACATCCACCAGCTCTCCTTGTCCACTTTGCCCCGCCAGGACAGTCTCCCATAAGATCTGCCAAAACTACTGAGCAGCCAAAACCATTCTCCTGAAGCCCTGGCTGTAATCCCACTGCCTGTTTTGTACACATCTCTCAGGATTTTTAACTACACAGTTTCATGACCACTATTACCAAGGCTGTCATGTATGTGACCATTCTTCCTTGTCTGCGAACGATGAATTCAGATCACCTCTCCTCATCAACTGGCAGATAATTTGCATCAATAAATCGATGCCAATATGCTACTTGCCTTCCTTACTTCTGTCAGAATCTTGAACCTCATAATTTTTCACAACCAAGGACTGCCAGCAGCTTTCACATCCCCAACCAGCTCTTCCTTATCTGCACATGCAACAGAACTTTCCCATGGCCAGTCTGACCAGGATTTGCATCAAAATATTATCTATAATGTACCCCAGAAGTCTCCTTGGTTGTTTCTGTCCCATTCTGTTACACTTCCAGGACATGTTTAGATGGCTGCAGTTCCCCATGAGAATTAAAGCTTGTAACTGTGAGGGTTTTTTAAATCTGTTTCAAGAAAGGTTCATCCACTTCCTCCTCATAATTAGCCAGTTTGGAAGATGCCCACCCATACATCCTTCTTGGCTTCCTCTGATCCTGACTCTCAAAATCTCAGCCAGCTTGTCACCCATCTTCATAGCAAAGGTCTGCATCCAAACTGTACTTTTTGGCACAAGTCAGCTCATTCTTCACACTGCATCTCTGTCAAGCAAGCTTTCCCTTTGTTTCTGACTCCTCAGACTTCTAATTCCTTCTTATGCTGTGTACATTTGTATACAGGCAATTCAAGACATATCTCTTATCACCTCCTCCATACACTAGCTTCCACATCTGGATTTTCTCAAATGGCTAGCTGGCAGAGGTGCACTTGTTCTTCACTGAATCCTCTATCTCCCCTGCACACCTTGCTGTCACTCAGCCTCTCTTTTATGTCATTTTTTTAAACGCATACCAGAATGACTGCCCATAGCCATGATTAAACCAGGTTATAATCTTCTTAGAACTGAATCATATCCATCATTCATTTTCCTTAAGACTCTAAACTATGAATTCTTCACTACAAGCACTTTACCTAATAGTCTCACTGGCATACTGGAAACCTCACAAGACTTACCTGCCCATCACCTGTATGACTTTAATGAAGCAAAACCAAAGTACAAGACTAGCCAAAGCCTGATGAATAACCAGCTTCAGAGATGGATCATATCTCACTTCCTACTCCGTCACACAATTACACTTTGAATTGTCTTAAAAGCACCAGACATTGCTTTAAACAATGCCCCCCCCCACCCCAAAAAAAAAAAGCTAAAGAAAACAACTGAAACAACTAAAAACCAAATCCTCACCTTTAAGAGCTGCACAGTGTTTCTTAATTGCAGGAGGAGTAAGATGCAAAAAATTGGGAATCTAGAATAAACATACTGAAAGTTACCAAAATAACAGCATTTTGTTCATAAATAAAGGGGTATTACTGAAATCTGATTACACTTTCAACATTTGTTAATGTAATTCAATACATTAAATATAAAATTAAAGTAAGAAGGCTCTCCTCAAGTCTCATTTAGCATAAGACTTAACCCCAGTTATAAAAGTCATAGGCATGATAACCCCAGCCAAGTCTGCTGATTTGGCTCACTTGTATTTCTTTCTTAGGTTTGCTACTATCTAATTAGAATAATACTCTATTTTTTATAGAAAACATTACCCAATATAAATAGATGTAGATAGTTTAGATGTAGAGCTTAGTGATAATGGTTTAGTGGAGGACTGGTTAGTGTTAGCTCAGAGGTTGGAAGAGACCTTCAAGATCACCTAGTCCAACCTAGATGATTCTGTGAAAAATATTCCAATCAAAGCAGTGCAGTCTTAATGAACAACAATTTTCAAAGTTAAAACATACCAGTTCAATGTGGCTTACCTTTATAAGCTCTAAGTTGCCTTCTTTTGGTGGAGGTACTCCTCTCTTCACTGGGTAACCCATTCTAATCGGGAGAGGCACAGATGCAGCTTTAAATGCAGCTGCTGTTGGATAAACACTGCTCCAGTCCTGGTTGACAGCCATTCTCTCAGTTCTTGGAGGTGCATGCTAACAAACAAAATTATGGAAGTTGATAGGAGAGATGCGGTTTTGTGACACAGCAGGAACACACACAAGAAATTATTAAAATCATATTTTCAGGAAGTCCCATCACTAATAATTTCAAAACACGCCTTAATTTCAAACATTAGTGTTCATTTCCAATGGAATTTTTAAAGGACGGCCTCTCAAGATTCAGGTGGCAGGCCTCCCTGTCTCAATATAAATAATAAAACTGCATTTATTTCAGAAATGTTTAGGAAGAAGATTTGGCCATTATCTTGTGCTGTGTTAAATTGAAGGAGGGTGGAATCAAACCAGTATTTCATAGGCGAGAGAGAGCGAGATTAGCTCTTTAAAGAAATAAAAAAAGCACCACCATTTCTTTTCCCAAAGCCCCCCCCCCCTTTTTTTTTTAATCTAGAAGGGCATAGACATAGTATATCAGCCTAGAAACAGACATACTCATTCAGCTGGTCTGACTGCTTTACTGTATCATTACATCTGCACTTGGAAGTTAAAGGAACAAAAATTTACACCTGGTCCACTTTTACTACTTGCCTTTAAAATCATATCACATTACCACTTTTCAAATCCTGCAAATTCATACTGAAAACAAAATTAAGATTTTTGTTTTTCTTTTAAATGCAGCTATATACTACTTTTAAGACCTTGATACACGTTAGGTTTTTTTTTTGTTTGTTTTGTTTTTAAGAATGCAGACTGAAGACAGCTAGGAGATTAAAGAAGTTAGGCGTGAGTTCTGGAATTTCATCACATTGGATCACTTCACCTTGTTTTGAAGGTGTTCCTGTAGAAACTATTAAAGTTTACAGCTTAGACTAGTTTCTCAGAGACCACTGAGTTAGCTGCAAATAGTATCAGTTCTTACCGATCTTACAAACTGCGATGTCCTGCCTCTTCTCCTTATTGAAGCTGGAAGAAAAATTAAAAGGAACATTTTTCATTACAAACTATTATATGGTTTTGTGGAAAAAAAATATAATGTAATCAGCATGCTTTTTTTTTTTTCCACTTTTACCAAAACAGTATCTATTAATACTCATAAGTAATTCCAAATCTCTATATTGCTACAGACAAAAGAAACAAACAACAACACCTCCTGATAAACATTTTTCAAATCAGGACATGAGAAATAAGCCAGATGTCCTTAATAGTGCAGAGTAATCTTTCTGTGGAAGTAAGAGGCTTTTCAAAGATTTTGTTTCCTTGCCTTTATATGGAAGAAGGGGAAGATCACATACTCAGATTGCTCACTTGTTTTGTAACTTGAGATAATAAAGGCTTGGAAGCCATTCAGTCAGATTGAGTTTATCCTAGAAACATATCAACAACAATTTCAAGTTTCAAGCTAACACATTGTACTGTTTTTTTTTTTTTTTAATTTTATATGGGGAACATACTGATGAGTTTATTTTCTGCCATTTTACATTGCTCATTGTGCATATTGAGCGAACACAGAGAAGAAGCAGCATACAGTAACACAAAGTTTACTCTCTTTTAGCAGGCCTGAACCATTAGGCTCTCTTTTTTTTTTTTTTTTTTTTTTTTTAAATCAACGGCCATCTGTTGGACCTGTGGGAAGGGATTCACAAAAATACAGAAGCCACCAAATCCCACTGGATTTTTGGTATAAACAGAAATCTTCACTTTCTTGTCTTCAAACACACGCACACAAAATAATGAGTTGCAGTATTTTTTTTAAATACTTAAAGTGTATTCTATAGTACCTATACGAATTAAATGTGTTTTCAGCTATTGGTGGGAGGGGGGGAGAGAGTAAATTCAATGTATTGTTGCTGTCCTGCATAGTTATCACATTACTATGCAGTGCGTATTTAGCAAAAATCAACGAATGGAGTTTATGAGTGGATGCTTTTGTTCTCGTTGACTTGTTGTTTTACACCCCTAACCCTCAGAAGTCTCAGGAAAAACTCCTGAAATTGACAGTTCTTTTGTCTTCCTTATTTGCATGTTTTATGGCCCTGATTCTGTTCTTCCTCTTCTTGCTATACAGAAATCTAAAACAAAAAACACATATGGGTCTCTGCAACAGCTCAGCCGGAGTTCCTTTACCTCTTATTACCCCTTATCATTTTTTTGCGGTGCATTCGCCCACAGACACACTTCACTCGTACCGATCATGTTCTAAGATTTCAGACTTAGGCCATTTTTTACTCCTACAGTGCCCTGAGGCTCACCACCTGACAGCACCCCAAGGCCCTCTCGGCAGCCTGGCCTCCTGAGCCTGCACACAGCAGACGTCCACGCAGCCTCGTAGGCTGCACCTTGCTGGTACAACCCTGCCCTGCAGCGTGCCGCGCGTTTGGACCCATCTGGGCTCAGAACAAGCAAAACCACCCAGCTTGGGCAAACACAGCACAAGCACAAGTCCCTCGGCAACCCGTGGCACCGCCGCTCAGAACAAACTCAGACAACGCACTGCAGCTCCGCTGGAACAAGGAAGAACACAACACCTCGGTTGCAAACGCGAGCCAGGCGCAGCCCGAGAGCCGCCCCCCCGCCCTCACCTTCCCGTTGCTGGCCTTCCCCCGTGCTGCCGGCGGGCACGGAGGAGTAAGCCGCCAGCCCAGCCGCCCGGCAGCAGCGGGCAAGCACGGCCCGCGGGCCCGGCCCCACCAGCGCCGCCGCCATCTTAGGGAGTTCTGCGCCCGCAGAGCGCCCCCATTCCTCCCAGCAGCACGGAGGCTGCCGCGGGCCAAGATAGCTGGAGAGGCGAAGAGCTCTGGGTGGGGTTTCCTGCCCATAAAGGGGAGGGGAAGAACGAGCAGGGAGGAAATGCTTGATAAAGCGCTGAAAAAAGTTTTTATCCCTTCTGGAGAAGGGGGAGGAGGGAGGGGCAAAGGGTAAGGAAAGCCAGGAAAGCGAAGTGGGGTCACGCTCAGTAATAATCTCGGCTTCTCTACTGGCATCTGCCGTCTTAGCGCCACCTCTGTCCTAGCACCAGCCGTTCTCTGGCCCAGGGATGCTGGGCTGCGTCTCGGCTCGCGTTTCTTGCCGAAGGCAGTTTCTCCATCTCATAAGCAGCTATGTATACCTTCTCAGCGCCTTCATACGATCTCTTCTGTGTCCTTGTGTGTCTTTGTGTCCAAAGCAGGGGAATCATAGAATCCTAGAATCATTAAGGTTGGAAAAGACCTTCAAGATCATCTGGTCCAACCAACCCCCTACTACCAACATCACCCACTAAACCATGTCCCCAAGCACCACATCCAACCTTTCCTTAAACACCCCCAGTTAAGGTGACTCCACCACCTCCCTAGGCAAGCCGTTCCAATGCCTGAGTGCTCTCACAGAGAAGAAATGTCTCCTCATTTCTAACCTGAACCTTCCTTGGAGCAACTTGAGGCCATTCCCTCTAGTCCTATCACTAGATAGTTATATGTGAGAAGAGGCCAACCCCCAGCTCCCCACACCTTCCTTTCAGGTAGTTGGAGAGGGCAATAAGGTCTCCCCTGAGCCTCCTCCAGACTAAACAACCCCAGTTCCCTCAGCTCCATCTCATAGGACTTGTGTTCCAGGCCCTTCACCAGAGAAGAGAGGTAACACAGGCACAAGCAGCTGCGGAGATACATGAAAATGGAATTAAAAAGCAGATGTCAGCAATGTGGGATGAGATAGGTCAGATGTAAATGCTGCTACCACCAGCACCATAAGCCTGTAAGCAGGATGGAGGCAACTAACAGCTTCAGCAATCTGTGAGGACAGGCTCCTTCAGCTACTACTGTAATTGAAACACACTTTATTACTGTGTTGGAGCAGAATTTGAAATCATTTGCTTTTAGAGAGGATGAGTTTCTTCCCAATGGTGCAATCAGAAAGCGCCATGCACAACTTCCGAGTGTTTGGGACAGTAAAGGACACGTGCCCAGCCATGATAAACTATTGTTTCATAGCAGTCCTTCAGAAATCAATTGTTCCTTCAGTAAAATGTGATTGGGTTCTGCCCTGTGGTAGTTCAAACTGGAAACCAAATGATCACACTGTAATATCTGTAATTCAACCTGTAAATGGCTAGATTACTTAAATTTCAGGTGTTTTTCTGCTTCTCAGAACCTGCTGGGTGCGGATGCATTAGAGCAGGTTTTTTGCTGTTGTTTCTGCTTTCTTTTGTGTAGCAATATACTTGTATCCCTGGTCACAGTCAAGGTTTCTGGCTTTATTTGCTTCAAATTACCACGTACCCATAATTTTGTTTACCTTTCTGATTTTTAATATAGCATTTCACAGTGACTTCACAGTTATTTCATCAACAGTAACATAATCATTGTTCAGCATGCACTCAATAATGGAAAATTGTTAATAGCTGAAGTTAATTACAATACAAACTTTTCAATAATAGACTTTCTGCAAGATTTCTATTAATTTTACAAAATTTCAATTCTGGAATATCCATCCTATTGCTAACAAAAGCTGGTAGAAAGACAAGAAATGCAGAAATTCTTAAAAAGTGTCTAGTAGTTGCTAGAAACTAAGATTAATTAATTGAAGTTTATAAATCTTCAAATTCTCAGAAAGGTAATTCTAATGCTAAGACGATTAAGGATCAATGAGAGCTAGGTATCAGAGAGAGGACTGGGGCTTGAGTGCTCCAAGAGGTTAAATCTATCCTGAATTACAAAATTGAATATTAATAGTAAGAGTCACATACATACCTCTGGAAACACAGAATATATATTCTTCATGCTAATTACATGGGCTACATAGCACTGATTATAGCACTGCATATTGCACTCAATAGCATATAATAGGTTCAGAAATATCCCTTATAGATAGTACCTGCTTCTCCAATTTAAAAGAAAGTGTTACTGCATTTTCAGTCTCAGAGTATTTGTTATGCACACCCTGTTGCCTTCACAATGATATGTCATTGTCAAGGTTCTGAGAAACACTTTCTGTGTTCACACACACCTACGCTCCTACCTATTTCCTCATGACAGAAACCTTGCAAGTCAGCTTATGTATAAGAAGATGAAATGGAGAATAATGTTTGTGTATAAAGTTTGATAAATCTTTGGTTATAATAACAATATATTTAGTGAACTTCGTGAATACTAAGCAATGATTTAGGCAACATTACTGAAGTCCTGCTGTATATTCTTAAAAGAATGTTCTTATTCTTGCTGGAACACACATTTAATTTTATCATTCCACATTAGGATAACATAAGGAGAGATCTTTTGTTGTTGAAACCATACAGTGCCAGGAACAGAGCCAGATCCAGCTGCAGGTATTATATGTTAACTAGGAGTTCTTATTTCATGACTTTAGCATTGGTCACTTGCATGTGTTGGACTGCAGTATGAAAAGTTACTGATTTATTTTAAAAACATCTTCAAATTTTTAATGCTTTTTCTAAAAAGAAAGCATTTCAGTTATTCACAATTATTGTTTAAACATTAGCTTTCAGTGGAATGATCTATGTTCAACACATTGCTGTTCATGTTAGATTTTCTTCAAGAAAGTGAACATCCAGTATACTTTAAAAGGGTGTTTTAAAGAAGCATTTGGGGGGAGGGGTTAGTTGCTAGAATAAACTAATCTCAGAAATCCTGACTTCTAGATTAATTTTTGTCCAGGCAGAATCTTTTCTACAGCTACATTTAAACAGATCAATCCGTCTTGTCATAGATTTCTTTGTTTTTATTGTATTGGGTTGGTCAAGCTAAACAAAATTACAGATTTCTCCAAGGTAGACAAAAGTAGATCGAAGTGATGAACTGAAGTGCTGAAGTGCCTCAGATACAGATTTTCATTGCTGAACTCATCATATTCAGCTTATTCATCACCACATTATCCCTTTTTTATATTTGTGATACTCTGAAAACTGCTGATGCAGAAGTAATGCAGGGTTATATGAATAGGCTACAAAATCCACTGGAGTGAAACAAAAAAATAGCCCACCCAATCAGAGCTGTTTTCTTATTTAAGAAAAGCAGAAAAAAACACCTGCCAGTGCTATTATTAGTGTGTGTGTGGGAAGGGGGGGGAACACAACATGACATGCCAACTCTTTAAAATAACATACTTTGTATCCTATTATTATACATGAAGAATTTCAGAGTAGTTTTCTTGTCTTTAATATCAGCTGAAGTGATCATATTGCTTATTTACATTACATTTCCCTTAAGAAAGATTGCTGGGGCCTGCGTAATCAATTGAATGTTGTGTAGTAGAGCCTACAGCTTACAGAAAACAGTTTTACAGAAATCTTTAACTAAATTAACAGAATATCTTAATCAACACTTTAAGCTCGCACATATAAACATATGGTGCACAACTGTACTTATCCTTAAGAGAGCGTTGTTATCTTTCAATATTTTTCCATTACAACACACAGTTCCAATGAAAAAAAAAAAGGCTATCCTGAATCAATAACTATATTTTTATCCATCTTTTAAATACTTATAATAAACATCCACTTTTAATGGCATTCTGTTACTATAGTAATACTGACAACAGTATCCTTCTCTAATGCATCAGTAATGATTTAAACAAACCCAATAAAACAATGCTAGAACACTTAATATAATTGAAGATAGGAGTCAAGTAACAGTTGAGGTTCACTGTAAAAGAATTTATATTGTCTCTTATTATTTGAAAGCTCTCCATGGCTGCTAACTGATACCTCTTCATCAACTAGAATAGGTACAACATTTCAAGCTGTAATTTTGTCTTCATTTAATGCAACATAAACATATTATCAAATACTTTGCCCTTAGTTCATACAATTTATTTAATGCTTTTATTCCCATTTATTCAGGTATTAAAAATAATATGGGTTTCTGTAAAGATATACTATAATTATAATGTAATTATTTTAAAAATTCTGACCTAGTAAATAACGCTAACCTCAAAGAACTGCACACCAGGCTGTTCTCTGTGGTCCAGGTAGATCTGCAAAATTTTGCTCCAGCGTTATAAAAAATATTTCTCATGTAATGCATTACTATTATTGCTTGATTTATGACAGTGCCTAAAATGGCAAACAGGATCAGGACCCTGTGTTGCTGGCTTTCAATAAACAAAATATTCTTATTTACCATATAATGCCGAGTTAAAAAAATACACTCATGATATAAACTTCTTATTTTCAAGACTTTTGTTTAACAGTTGCCTTCTTTCCAAAAGACTACTGAAATGGCAGAATAATTAGCAAGGTTGTATGCTTTGTCACACTTGTTTCATCACAATGTAAGGTTATTGCTGTGCCCAATGAGATCAAGAATGGTGATGCCTGAAGCCATGACATCCCAGGATTATTTTCTTTCTGGTGTGGATCTCCTGAACTCTTTAATATCAGATCTGTTTTTACCAGGGCCAGCACTGTCCTTACCATATAGCTATTAAACCATACAGATCACTGCTCTGTGAAAACACGTGTGACGTATACTTCCCATGGCACACAGAGTCTGTGATGGCATCAGCAGATATCAATACATTTGAAACATGGCTGAACTATGGAGCAGAAGTCCTGGAAGTGAATGCTTTTCACAGTTCCTTGTTATAGAGGAAATCACACTCCTTTGCCAACTGTTTACCATTATCTTTCAGCTTTTATCTCCCCCCTCCTTGTACTGGGAGACAGCATAAAGTACCAAAAAGTTACATGAAGTACACATATATTCTTTGTGGAAGGTTTGGAAAAGACCTCTAAGATCATCTATTCCAACCTTTAATCCAGTACCGAAAAGTCCACCACTGAACCATGCTCCTAAACTCTACATCTACACATTTCTTGAAGACCTCCAGGGACTCAACCACTCCCCTGGGCAGCCTATTCCGATGCCACACGACTCTTCCAGTAAAGGAGTTTCTCCTAATATCCTACATAAACCTTCCCTGGTGCAACTTGAGGCTATTTCCCCTTGTCTTATTACTTGGTGCTTGGGAGAAAAGTCCTATCCCCACCTCACTACAACCTCCTTTAAGGTAATTGTAAAGTACAATAAGGTCTCCCCTGAGCCTTATTTTCTCCAAGCAGAATAACCCCAGCTACCTCAGCTGCACCCCAAAAGACTTGTTTTCTAGACCCTTCACCAGTTTTGTTGCCCTTCTCTGTAAATGCTCCAGCACCTCAATATCATTCTTGTAGCAAGGGGCCCAAAATAACACAGTATTCGAGGTGTGCCCTCACCAGAGCCAAGTACGAGGGGACAATCTCTTCACTAGTCTTGCTGAGCATAATATTTCTGATAGAAGCCAGGATACTGCTGGCTTTCTTGGCTACCTGACCACACTACTGTCTCTTTCCAGATGCTAATGACCAATATCCCCCAGTCCCTTTCCGCTGGGCAGCTTTCGCATTCATTCCTCTTTGGGCCCAGCCACCCAGCCAGTTTTTAACCAAGCATAACATACACCTATACAAGCCTCGAGCAGCCAGCTTCTTCAGGAGAATGCTGTGGGAAACATTGTCAAAAATGTTACTGAAGTCTAGGTAGACCACATCCACAGCCTTTCACTCATCCACTGTGCGTCACCTAGCTCTAGAAGGAGATTGGGTTCATCAAGCAGGACCTGTCTTTGATAAACCCATACTATTTGGGCCTGATCACCTGGTTGTCCTGTGAGTGCTGCATGATGGCACTCAAGGTAATATGCTTCATGAGCTTCCCTAGCACTGAGGTCAGACTGACAGGTCTGTAGTTTCCCCGATCCTTCTTTTGGCCCTTCTTGTAGATGGGCATCACATTTGCTAGCTGCCAGTCAATTTTAAGCATTTATTGAAGAACCTGTATTTTCTGTTTTGTTTTTCCAATAAAATATTTTCATTTCAAACAGAGAAAAAATCTACATAACTGAAGGAGTCAATCTTGATTTCTTACAACAATTCCATCATGGAAATGAGGAATTTACAGAACTGTTAGATACTAATCTGGGACAAGCAGTTATCCTTGGAGACTATCTATATTAGTACTAAAATAATAATTATTGCCAACATGCATAAAAGGTAATTTAACCCCTCAGTTCATCCCTTATATTATAAAATGCTACAATATATTTTAATTGTCAAGTGTTTCAGAGTGAATGGAAGCCCAGTGTCACCTTTGGCCGTCCTTCTGATATCATAGTATACAAGTCTTGATAATTTATATTCAGCATGTCCTTGCAATGAAAAATATTGGTATTCATAGTGCACATTACGTGGATTGAAAACTGTTCTATGGCTGAGTGCTCTTCTTAACATATTTGCTAGAAAGGTGTTTATCTGGAGTTCAGAAAGGAAAAGTGCAGAGAGAACTGTTAAAAACTAAACACGAAATCATTTTATTTTGCCTAGTCAAAAAATAAAAGTCAGATGTCCCATTTTATGTTTTTTTTTTTTTTTTTTTTCAGTGATTTCAGACCAGCTGCTCATATGTTGAGTTTCCACATTTACATTAAAACTGTAAGTGTATTCTACTTTTCCCTCAGAATAAACAGATTTTAAACCATAAAATATCCAAGTTGTGTATTGGTTATATTGGTTGGTTGATTTGTTTGTTTTCAGATTATTTTTTTTCCCCTGCACACTTTGATTAATTATTTACAGCTTGAACAGTTGTATTTGGGAGAGGTCAGAGGTTAGACTAGGTAATAGTTTTTGCATTTAGGAAATTACCATTGGGAAAAGTTAATACAGCAGAGAAGTTATTAATTGATGTGGAAGGCATTTCAAGGAGGAAACATGAGCAAAAACCTAGTGAAGGATTTCTCAGGCTCCAACTGGGTATCAGTCCTTTTCAATGGCCCACTGGTACTATCTGGAATATTATATTCTGGTGCTGCAGAGCCTCCTGCTAGCTTGAACCAACACCAAATTCAAATTGTAAAAGGTGTGAAGTAAAGAAATGCTAATATTAACCAGTTGCAATTAAGTGTATGCAGATAAGAAACAGAGTGGGCAAGATGATCCTCAGTAAAATTAAGTTGTTGCTTGTGATTGCTGGTTTTGACAACAGGAAGAAGCACAAGTAAATTGTCAGAAGTGTCGTACAGTTCTTTCTTTGCCTTTTCCAAGAGCAGCCAAATACGGCAGATAAAAGGGAGGGACCCTGGATTAGTCAGGGTGGGACTTGATAAGCCACGAGGCAGAGCTAGGCAGCAGCTCTGCCTGCACCTATCCAGAGAATCTGCCATATAGAGCTGAGGGAGCAACAAAGAAAAGGAATAGAGGGACACACAACAGGAGCGTAGGTACTATTGCCTTTTTTTTTCTTTTTTTTTCTTTTTTTTTTTTCCCCTGTGCTTTATTTCTGATTTTGTGGGAACCCCTGTTGTGATTAAGCAGGCTAGCAAATGTGTTTCAGGCAGTTTTGTTTGCAACAGCTGGGTAGCCAGTCCCTGCTAAGGCTACATTGACAAGTGCTGGTTAATTGTTGAGGTAGCCTCAGCACCATAAAACAAATGATACAGAGGGAGTGAACTTCTGACAGATGTTGTTTTATTGCTTTAGGTCAGCTTGGCTGAGGGGCTTTGTGGTTTTGCTTTATTGTTTATTTCTGACAGTTTTTCATTGTTAAGAGAACAGATGAGGGAAAGGAAGCATTTCTCTATCTGCTGTAGGATTAATGTAGAAGCACATCAGTCCATTTTACCATTACCGGTGTTAAGAAATGAGCACATTGTAACAACCCCAGTACCCCATGTAAAAATTTTATAGAGTAATTTAAGAGGACTTGTTTCTATGTACTTCAATGGAAGTTTATCTGTTATGCAAGAGGATGTTTAAGCAACAGAAAATAATCGTAATTTAAAACGAGGGGACAAAGGAAACTTTTCTCTCTCCCTCAGTTTTGATGAGGCTAAAAAACTCAAAGTATGGGTGTGAGTCTCTTCTGATGGCAGAGCAGTCAGATGCAACCCCTAGGTATAGGGGCTTTAGATTGTGGATGACACAGTACATTACAATATCACATTACAAACATAATTTTGACATTAACATCAGCAGTACCTGGTGCTTTGAAGTTAAAAGTATCTTTCATTATACCTCTAATATTTTTAAAACTTTCATAACATTTTCATTTTACTGAAGAATTTTGAATAAGGAAACTTTTCATGGTTGTGTGTAAGAAACAAGGCAATACAAATAGTGACACTTCAGAGTGAGCTGCTCTCAGTCTGTCAAAAAGATTAATATTACTGCTCATATCTGTATATTAGCAGCAATCTAGGTCTGTCTCATGACCAGTATATACTGAACTATAAGAGAATTATTTTCTGTTCTATTGTCTCAAGAAAATACCTAGAGAATAGCAAAGTTAGCAGCAAACTTTAAATGGCTTGAAGAAAATCAAGAATCAGGCCAGACATCTTTGATCTTTTCCCTTGTGACAATATTAACCTCCCAATGATATTTAGCATTAATGGCATATTCCTGTTTACATGTGAGGAAAAATTGTATCTGAGTACAGTGGATTGCAAGATCAGCTCTCATGAGGGGATTGAAATAATTTATTTTATTCTTAAAATCTTTCTGTAACATTGGCTTTCTAGGTAAGATATCTTGCTATGTAGGTGCTGAAGTTCAAAACCTCCATTTAGTGTGCTTCAGGCAACAGTAATTTTATAAATGCTGGGAAAATATCACAGTTCCGTGTCTAAACAGGACAATTCAAGATCTGCTTGGCTTAAAATAATATCATGGGATCAGCTCTCAAGACAACTCTGCTGCAGTTTGTGATGTTGCAGCATTTTAATAGTTTTAAGCTTTTTCCTTTAAAAATGTAACTTTGATTCTTAATTTTCTTTTTCTCTCAAAAAATCTTAATCTCTCTCCTTTTCTAGCCCATTACATCTGGTCCCTAGCACGTATAGTTTGTCTAATAAGTTGTTCTTATTTAATTTCAGAGGTTCTCAGTGACAGCTGGTGACAGGCTGACAGCTCACACGCTCGTGTCACAGAGAAGGTCCATGATAAAAGCAGAAAGTCACCTTATCAGCTGCTGGAGAACGCTCTGGGCAAGGAGGATATACAATACCTTCTTCTATGATTTTAAATATTGATCAGGGTTAGTAATACCTGCGCGTTGCTAAAGAATGTCCTGTGATAATGGAGAAACCATTGGGCACTCAATGTACAACCTCTGTGGACAGATCCAAGGCTCCACTTCCCAGCTTAGTAGTCTGAATGGAAATAGGAAATATGCAACCTTGCTGAAAGTCAGGGGGAGCTCAAGCAACATGCAGTACTCTTCGGTGGCGCTGGGTCCAGATGCCCCAGTGAATAATGGATCTGGAATTCCCTGTAACCCCAAGGAAGGCATGAAGGCTTCAGTCGTGACAGCAAGTGAAGTCCACAGGGCCTGTACAGCAAAGTGTTTCCACAGCCGTTACTCAACTAAAACTAGTACACAGGGAAATGTCTACAACTTCCTGGAGAGGCCCAGTGGATGGAAGTGTTTTATCTATCACTTTACTGTGTAAGTACCTAGATTTTTATGCAATCTTTGGTTTAAGAAAAATTTGAAACTGTCCCCTTGATTAGCTAGAAGTCACAGTACTTTAGCTCCAAGGCTGAAAACTGTAGTTCTATGAATAATCCCATTGAAAGTGGGAAGGGAAAAGTCAGTTTCACAAACAAACAGCCACTACATCCACTAACATTTCCAAAGGAGCAGTGTCTATTCTTGATATCTGTCTTCAAAGATGTACACTGAATCTGTGCTAATTCAAAGATGAAGTCTGATATTCTCATGGCAGCACTTCCTGCTGCCTTAGCTACTTCACATGGTTCTAGCTTCAGATACTGCAGTTTTTAGCATGTGATATAATCAGACCTATCACATTTTTATGTGTGTTTAGCTCATGCTGAGGTGCCAAAACACATAATCTGTTGGTCAAACATCTAATCACAACATTACTATTTTAAATTAATTTACAGGTGTGAACATGTATTGAGTAGAAATTTAGCAAAAAAATTTTCATTATACCCAGTACATAGTACATGCAAGGAGAACATTAAGGTTCCTATTAACCATTGTGAAGCAGCAGTTAACAAATTATTACAGCTGCTACCTTTTTCTCTAAGCTGCTTATGTTGTCTGTTTAGCAAGACCTCAAGTACTATTTTGAATGTTACTAAACAGTAATGATAATTTATCATCTTTGCTGTAGAAAGGGTCCAGTCATTCTCTCACTGAGTCAAGCAGAAGTTTCACTGGCTACAGTGAATGCAAAATGTGCCAGAAGTCCTTGCTTTTATTAATTAGTAATTATATGTCCTGAAGAAATACGGAGTGTTGAAATTATTCTATTCATTCCAGATATACTTTTCTATGGCCTGACTGCATTTTGGAAAAAAACATCAGTTACTGCAATCAGAAGCTACTCAGAGAAAGACACAGTAATTTTAAAAGTGACTTTTAATGCTTCTATTTGGTGTAAAATGGATGGTCCTACCAATATTTGTTTCCTTTCATACCTTTGGCTTTTTTAAAATGGTGTTTTGATTCATTAAATGTTATTCAAGGAATAGGCTTATACTATGCAATTATTCCCAGGGCTTAAACAGGTGCAGTTTCTGTAGATTTGAATATGTCATGATTTAAGCCTATTTCAGGTTAGGGTTTATTAACCTTATTGAAATGCAATTGTGTCATCTTCTGCATTACTTTTATCTCAGACTAAAGATGACCTTTAATAGGTACTTATACTCTGCAAGGGACATTTAAACCCTAAACAAACAGAAAACTACACAAACACACACACAAACACCAACATCTCATCAATCCGTACTGGAAAACTGGAAAAAAAGTTGCTATTTTTAGCAGATTTTCAGTTTTATATTTTAAAGAGTATAAGGGTTTCTAACTTAAATGAAAGAATATGTAAATTGGCTCTGTTCTGAAAAGCTTTTTCTTTAGGATTGCTTAAAAGGAAAAAAATTAACCAACATTTTGTCTTAAGTATCTTTGTCCTAATAATTATCCCAATAACTACATGGTATGTTCATTTATATAACAAGTGTCTGTTTTGGAAAGAACAGATATAACATTAAATGTCATTAAACATTTTTAAAGCAATAAAGTGCTGATCTAAAGTACAATTAACTTTGTAATGAGAACAAGATGTAACATTTTTAAAGAACGTTTCCTCTGTTATATCTGTGGTTTTGTTGCAATTCATGTAGATTCACTCTTATGATGACAATGACTATTTTATAACAACTCCAATCTTCCAACTATGTAGTTGAAATGTGTGTAGCCTGGGGGAGCAACAGTGTCCCTTAATTGTCCTTTTGTCCTTCATATGCCAGAAGGACTCAATAACTCAAGTACAAACCTATGCGTAGTTTGTGTCCAGGCAGGGCTGGAATCTGTTCTGATCAGGAGCCAGTTCTGCTACAGAGAATCTAACTTTTATGAAAACAGGCAAAGAGAGGGAAGAGCAAGTGCTCTAGGAAGTGATGCTCCTTCTGTGTTCTGAAATTACCAAAATAATCTCATCTTTCTCAAGATAATGCTTGTTAGAAAATGAAAGTATTTTTGCCTAATTAAATCTGAAATTAGTGTTATTTTAGTGGAGTTATTCCAGGCTAAAATCATTGTTTGAAAACAACATGATTCATAGATTGAATGGGTTTTCTTGAGAATTCCCCCTTCCAATCCTGTAAATCTTCTCACTTGGGTGATTTTCAGCTTCACAGGAAATACTGTGAAATACTGAGTTTCTGAAAGCATGAAGAACAAGGTAGAGGATCACAATGACAAGTTAGAAAGAGGCGAGGGCTTCAGAAACAGCTGTGACATGCAAAAGCAATACATTGATCATAACCAACCTGTTCTTGCTGCCAAGTAAGACCCTTAAGGTATTAGATATCAATATATGTTAGAGTACAGCTGTTTGCCATATGGTCCTCATTCCAGAAAAAGAAGTGCATACCTGGCTTGCATTTGATTTCTAAGCTCAACTATCACTTGTTTAAATCACAGCCTCATGTGAAGATACCAGAGTAGAACCATCATATTTTATCTTTTGAACAAAAAGTGCAATATGTAATTTTCTTATTCTTATGTATTGGTGATAAGTTATGCATGGTAATGAAGTTACTTGGCAAGTCCACACATTTAAATCATTTAACTGTAAGTGGAGCCTTATTCATGTGAAGAATATGCGTTTACTTTTCTGAAACATATATACTTATATATAATTACAAATGGAATGGCAAATGGTTCAATGATATTTTAGAATATGGTGTTCATTTTTTGTGTGTGTGTTTTGTTTAGATAACAGATAGCAATGATCATAAACCAAAACCAGATTCCAATGTATATGATTAAAGTGCTAGTGCATAATTGTGATTGGAGAATGTTTCCAAGCCTTTGGAGGCCACCTTGGCCATAGACAAGGCCACCTTGGCCATAGACAAGGGGTGGTGATGGTCTGGTTCCTCTGCCATGTTTATAGAGGCATAGAACAAGTAGCAGGAGGTGCAACTCAGGCCTTTTGAAGTAAAAGGTGTACTATATGTGCAGCCATATGCATTCATACACATAAGTGGTGACTGAAGGGAAGAGAACCGTATGGTTTCACTTGTATTCAGGGAGAAAAAGTAAAGGTTTCCTTTCATATGTTAATTTCTTCTGAATGTGAGTGACAGAGGACATCTTGTGTCAGCCTAAGGCTATGTCTGCATTGGTGTGCAGCCCTGTGCTGCACAGCTGCACCTACTCAGGCCCCAGGAAGAAAACAAACAAGCTTGCACAAATGTGTACTGAGGCTAACTGCTCCTGTATTTCGGCAAGCAAGGTGGATCCACAGTACCTTTTCCCTTCAGATCTGCCCTGTTCTTTTCACTCACTGCAGTCCAACTCCCTTGCATTATCTTTTCCATTTCTCTAGAACATCCTGAAGCATGATTTTCAGCTGCTGTTGCCTGGCTAACCAAACTTTGTAGATAAAAGCCAGAAGCTTAGAGGGAACCTGGGTGTGTAGCTCTTTGAGAAGTGAAGAAACAGAACAAATTGCTACGCTGAGTCTGATGAAACAGGGATAGATGAGAACCTGAGACAGAGATAGAAGCCTAAGTTTGATTGTCGTAGAAATTGAGACTGGTGCCAGTGATGCTGAAACTGGAGGAAAAGGGGTAAAGAGCAGGCTAGCTCAAGAACAAAGAGAAGCATACTTAGGTGGGAAGGACAATCAAGGTCTAGCAGCTTTTGGAGATCAGAAAGCTGGCCAGGCACAAGGTGCTGGGATTGTGGGACAGCTGAAACTCACAGAGTTTCACTGGGAGGAAGAAGGGGTAGGAGACGACAGCTGGAAGCTAGGGGAAAGAGGGAGCATGGAATTCAAGACAGGAGAAGGAACCTTTCACCCATAGGCAATTGGTTTGAATCTCATCCAAGTCAATAGTGAAGAAGAAGTAATGACTGCAGGGAGATACAAAAGGAGCTGTTGGTCTTTTTCCAGTTCTTAGTGAACGGATGTCAGCATCACTGCTGGAGTTAGCACAGCTGGAAGACTTGCTGGCAGTCAGTAGAGAAACCGCAGGCTGGTTGAAAACGGAGGCAAGTCTAAGGCAAGAGGGAGGCCCATGAGAGGGACTCTTAAAATGTGTTCTCAGGCCTGCCACTTTCTTGTCGTGTAACACTGCAAAAATTTGAGAACTTGCAGCTGTTCAAAGGTTATTTTGTGCTGGTTTCACCACTTGTTAAATGAGTGTTAGACCTTGTTCTCATTTAAAAGCTAGACCAATCTTTATATCCCATAGCTTCCTGTGGGATGGGGTGAGCTGATCTAACAGCCCATTGCTAACCAACCACCTCTGGTTCTGCTTCCCTCATTTGCCTCAGCTATTCAGCTTGCTCCTTGCCATTCAAATTTATCTGTCCTTGGCTATCCTTGGAGCACTGAGACAGTTCAGCTTGTTATGCCAGAAGAAACCTAGTCCAGTAGCAAAAAGAGGATGGCCTTCTCTCAGGTTAGTTATACACATTCAGCATCTCTGAGTACTGTCCACTCTTGTTCTCTTAGTGCTCCTAGAGGGCCATAGTCACCTGTTAAATAAAACTGTACAAAATAATTGCAAAGTAACACACTGAAAGTCATCTGGCAAGTACTGCAGACCACCTGGTTTGACTGCAAAACACTTGACAAATGCAGACTTTGCATAGCAACAAACCCTTTACTCCAGGCTTTCTTAAGATTTATGGGAGAAAGACTCCAAATAGTGACTCAGAGAGGATAATGGCTATTGTTTTGAATCGCTCATCAGGACTTATTGCATGGGAAAGATAAGGAAAATGTCCTTCCTAGGGTATGGTTTCACAGTTGGTATAATAGGTTACCATTACCACCAGGGGAAGGTTCCCTTCTCCCCTGACCACACACTTCTGCCACAATGCATGCTGTTTCTGCCACTTTTTGTAGCCCTCCTAAGCTAAGTAAACTCACTGAAATCACTGAAATTCAGTAATTT